TATGCGCTTTTATCAGAGAGCAACAGAAATAAACTAGAGCATTGCAGAGAAGACAGAAAGTTTTATTTTTCTTTGTGAATAAAGTACTTCATAAGTACTGAGATGCTCATCAGTGACAGCCAGAACAAGCCTAGAGGTGCTCATAAGGGTTTAGCTACTTGTTTGCATAGGACTAATTCGATTTGCAAGCTATTGAAAGAATTCCCTTCCTCATTACTTCAAAATTGCTATAGTAGTTTGAGGGGATTTATGCAGATTTCTCTCAAAGCAGACATGACATTCACTAGTTTCATTGGTTTGTACTATTACCAGTATTTTAAACAACCTAGTAACTGACTTAACATTTTCAATGAGTCACATATGATAATAATTCCTGGAGTTGCTGAAGTGTTCCTCTTCCCTTCTAGTTTCCCCTTGAAAGCTTAATCTAAGTTTCTTTAGATCCTGGCTTTACTCTTCACTTTCCTCCCTCAACAAGGACTCCAGAAAGAAATAATTTATTCTAACCTTTCATAAACCACATGGAAACTGTCCCCAAAAAGGAAACAAACTTTAATCAGGCCATCCTAGACAAAATAAAATAGCTAGGATTTTTAATTTACTAACACTCAGCAATGAAACAATCTATGTCGTAGTGAAATTACTGTCTTAAATATCTGCCCAACTAAAATGCTGTAAATAAATAAATCTGTTTTATTACTTGCCATATCCAGCTTTAGATCAAAATGCTCCTGTTTGCTTTACTGGCTTTCTGACTTTCTTTCTCCTATAAAAATGTGGCTTGCTAGTTCAGAGAAGAGACAAGACAGACTTAGCTACATCAAAACAACTTATTCCACACCAAAGCAAGCAGAGCAGATTTCGAATTACCTAAGTCCCAGTAAAAGAGCCAGATATCTTTTACATGTTAAGAATACAAAGCTGAACCTTAGAAAGATATTGTGGAGCATTGGGTTTTCATTGTGTACAGATCCTCAGGTTATCAAAACACAGCTTTGAAGACGCTTGAAAGCCTCAGGCATATAAGGGCCATGGGGACAGATCATTACACAGATATAGAGTAGTTGTTACATTTTTGGAGGCTATTCTTCAAATCATGTATAGTCTCTGAGAATACACAATTGCATCCAAGATAAACAAAATGAAGCAGACTGTTCTAGACAGAAGAAAGAAAAATGCAGGAGATACAGGTCATGGGGCTACTTAGTTTATTATGGTGTCTGTTATTATATCCAGCACCCGACATTTCAGAGCAAGGTGCAAGAAACCTCTTAAATCATAGGGAGCCAGAGATTTCACTTGGATCCTACACTACAAAATTTAATATCTCATCCAAAAGTTCTTATATAGTCCATATTTAGGAAGCCTTAGAATTGAGATAATTTTTTTTTCTATAAAAATGGTCCTTGAACATAAAATTACAACTTTTGTGGATTTTCTTCCCCCCAAACTGATTAAATGAATGAGAGGCACTGTAATGATTCAGAAAAGCGCAGATTGTTTTTCATTGTCTTAATCCTGTTTTGTCCACTTGGACATTAGAACATGTCACGGAAACTATGCATGAATCTTATGTGTGGAAGCTATTTAGCTACACAGTAAGTGAAATTCTTTTAATCTATGAATCAAATTCTTTTAATCTATGAATCAAATATCTGTCCTGTTATTTCAAGCCTAACCAGATTCTGAGGCTTGACAAGAGTTGAAGGTGCGCTGGTTTCCATTCCATTGTGTTTCGTGAGAGTCTAGCAGTGGATGGCATGGGAACATCTTTGATGAAGCTTGGGAAACTACTGGGGAGGTTTTTATGTGTCTGAGAATATCTGATGAGAAATAGATTTAAAGGGAAAACCTGAACATAATACAGTGATCTTAAGTTAAGCCATCTAGAAGCTTATTCCTCCTGGCTTCCCTATTCCCTAGGAAATAAGGAAAGTGCGGGGGTCACCATCCCTGGGTGTTCACACACCGTGTAGACGAGGCCCTCAGTGCCAGGGGTTAGTGGTGGTCTTGGCAGTGCTGGGGTAAGGGTTGGACTTGATAATCTTAAAGGGCTTTTCCAACCTGGTTGATTCTATGATTCTATGATTTCTTGGCATGCTTTGGCTACATTATGTGAATGTTAGAGCTCTAGAGATCAACAGTGAGGGACTCCTGTGATGTACTGTGATATACTTCATACAATAAGTATGATAATCAATATGTCTCTTAATCTTTATGTCTCCTGTCATGCTCCCTCTGGCATCAAACATACAAAGTCAAATGAAAAATAGTTAATGAGAGATTACTGTGTCCTATTCAAGTTAAAATATTAAAGGCATTTCTTTCTGAAAATGATTCTTAGCAATTACTTAAAATCATATGACCAATGTTACTCCACAGCTTTTGGAGAATTGCTTCCACTGGTCCCTTCTGAGTATTGTAAGCCATGAAATATACAGGGCTTTTCTGAACCCAAACCTTTGTTCATACTTCTGTCACATGAGTTACCCCTGTTGCGCCTCCATAGTTAATTACTTTTGAGGACTTTCTCATCACAGCATGAACCAAGCATGACTTTATCTGGTGACAGGATAATCTCATTACAGATGATGATCTTGTTAATGAATATCCCCAAGACAGAGCAATCTCATTATTAGCCCCCTCAGGATTTGTCACCTAAGAGCCAAGGTATGATTAGATTCTAGCTGCACATCCTCCTCCCAGATCCTAAATGTCCCAACATCTTGAGGCTGAGGTAGCATCCCCAAAGGCACATGTACCACTGGACATATTTCATTAGGATTTTGTCCCTAAGTACTTCTGGACATACTTCTCAGGTGAACAATCAAGACAGTTCAAGTGCTATGTGCAGGGCTCACCTGTCCATTGCTCTGTAGAACAAGCACAGCACAGTGGCATCAAGCGCAACAGAAGCAGTGTGGTTTTACCATACTGATAGTGGCCTCAGGGCAGTACAAGGAAGAAAAGCGCACTGCCTGTCTCCTCAGTAGTGCCCTCTCCACTCTGCATGGTGTCCTATCTAAAGTTACAGATCTGCTGGTCAATGGTCAGGCGTTGATACCACTGGTATCTGTTTCCCTGCATAGTATGTCCATGATTACACTGAAAATGATTACCATGAGAAATATCCAGCTAGTTAAAAATCAGCTTCATTCTTATTTTCCCTTGTATTTTCTGGAAGGTCAGGATGGGGTGGATCAGTGCTGAAGTCTGGTACAATATAGGTATCTCCTTTGGACATCAATGAGCTGTTGAACTGGCTCAATGGCTTGTGAAACCTCAGCCTGTGAGAAGAGTTCAGTCCTAGAAATCTAATAGCAACATAGAAATTGTTTTACAGAAAACAAACACATTAATTTGAGATAAATGTATTTAACTCAACTGTTTTATTAAACTTAAATGGTTTAGAATATTTACTTTTCTGGAAGTATTATTGCTGCTACTGTTTTTTTAACATGCAGTGCTGTGTTTGTACATGGTGCTTTACAGACACATAGAAAGGTGTGATTTTTACCAAATACAATGATAAAAGAGAGGGAAAAGCAATGGTTATTAATGTGAGAGTTATAGAGATGTTGATTTTCAAAATGATCCATATTACAATGCAGCCAGTATTTCCTCTTGCTCCTACAGTTAACAAAACCCATGCTAGATGAGAGATTGTCCATGCAGAAAAGCAGTACATTTTCTTAATTAATCTAGTGCATAGCAGGAACCTGAGCACTAAATCCCACCCATTTGATTTCATTAAATCTACTATAAAGGTTAAGCTGCACTTTAGCATTGGCTCTAGACAGCCTCACTCAGCAAAGTGAGGTCAAGGGATCTTATTCAAGGAGGTGCAGCTTAGTAAATGTCTGTTTATGAGGGAAGGGATGATAAATTGTTCTGATGAGAAAGCTGGACAGTGGGCATGCTAAACAGTAAATGTGGTCTTATTTTACTTGCAGTTTTACTGAGATGTATGAATCTATGATTCTATACTTTGAAGAGTTTACAGAGAATTATTCAAAGCTAAATCTCTAATTTCAAGCCCCAAGCAATGCTGCTGCCCCTGGGAAGTCAAATCCCATCCTCAGATCACTTGGAAACAGCATCAGGGCTTATGTCAGAGCAGCTGGAGCAAGTTCAGGGACCAAACTATGCATGGCCTAATTTGCCTATAAAAGAGGGTGAGTGGGATCTAAAGCACTTGGTGGAGAGTTGTATAGCTTGGTAGTGGTGGGCTATGCAAGCAAGAGCATGGACACTGGTCATCCTCTGGCAGTGGTGGGTAAGGAGCGAAAGAGGAAAGAAAAGGCTGAAGTGACCATAGCGTTTTCTCTGCTCCCCACCTGCCATGAAGGAGTTTCCTCTACATGCCATACACTGTCTCCATTGTGACTGGAGGCCCGCTGAATCACAGTCTGCTCCCCAGTGTAACCTCTGGTAAAGCAAAAATATATTGTGCTTTGTATTAGTTTAGAAAGAAAAAAAGTTATTATTTTAGGTTGAAAAAAGTCCTATGTGCCCCTTAGGTTTTTAGTTTCAGTACTGTGGTCCTGCCTCACACAGAAAGTTGTGAGGGGGTGACCAAATATCCTTCAGAGGTCCCTTCAAACCTGAACTATTCTATGGTTCTGTAAAATGGTATGTTGAGTTTTATACCTAAGTTTTTATGATTGATTATTGCCATTGCTCCTCTGAACTGAGATGTCAGATGCGTAGGTTCTGTAAAACTGTTCAACTTCTGGGAACAGTTGGTAGGGTTCAGTCCCCATGTGTTCAGCCTGAGCTTGAAGGTTCCTTTGACTAACCAGGATCTCATGTGGCAATTTGGAAACATTGCTTTAGACACAGAGGCTACAGCTTAAGTGTTTCTGCAAGCTTCTAAAAGCTGGTTTGTGGGCAATCCTAACAGAAGCAGGTAAACTGCAGTAATTAGGAAATTACGTTTTCAGCTGCATTAATGTTATGCAAATGATACTATGTATGATGTGTTTGTTTTCTTTCCACAGCTTAATGTCTGGGCTAGCAGCCCTGGATGCCAAGACTTCCAGTCGATTAGGCATCATAACTGTCACTTACTACCTGTGGACAACATTTGTGGCTGTGATTGTAGGAATAATTATGGTCTCCATTATCCATCCTGGTGGAGCAGCACAGAAGGAGAGCACTGAAGAGGGTGGAAAGCCCATCATGAGCTCTGCAGATGCACTGCTTGACTTAATCCGGTAACTGCATTCATTCTTTCTGCTTTCAGAAGGTAGCATTTTGTACAGACCTGTATGAGGAACTGTGGCCTGAGGATAAATTCTGAACCTAAGGATGCACAGTTTGCTAAAATTGAGAAAAAGTGAATTTCAGAAGACTATTTTCAAGTTATCAGATGTTTATAACGTCTGTTTCCAGTAGAATTTAAATGAATGACCACCAAATGTATCAGAGGTACTCACAACATTGGGGTCAGGGTTTTTTGTACCCCTGCAGAATTACATGGAGCCTGTGGACCTCACCATCAAATCTATTATTAAGGTCAAGAGAGTATTAAAGTGTAATGCTAATTTGAATAAGGGCAGACAGTTGTAATAGGCAAAACCATAAATATAAGGGCTGAAATCCACATTTTTCAGGAAATAATACGCAAAAGTGATGTTACAGCTGCACATAGCAACTCTCAGGTAAAGGGCACAATTAGTCTACCATTATGATCTTTCATTCCTTATTTTTGCAATATTATTTGTTCTGCTCTGTGGCTTTTCCTTGTTTATTTTACTTTGGCAGAAGGCAAGGTTGTTCTTTTAGACCAGCATTAGAACACTGACAGTATTTTGATAGCCGTGCCTGAGTATTCCTCTTTGTCTCAACGTTTCAAGTGCTAGTAGGATTACTTTTATGACTGAACATAGTATGTGCCTCAGATTTGTTTTGCTCATGCAGAAAGACCAAGTTTTGCCTTTGGTTGGTAGTACCTCAAGTTGGTGATCTCATACAATATTGGAGTTTGACGTATTAAAATATGTTGCGTAATTTGCCTTCCAAAAACCCAAATTCCTGACCCTGACAGTGTCAGCACACAAAGTACTTTGAGTTCCTGGGACCTCTATTCAGAAGGAACTGGGTTGGAAAGCTTATAAAACTCTCTTTTTCCTCCTCCAAGCTGCACTTATCCAGGCCATCTGAAACCTGCATCATTTTCTGTTGTATCAGTGTTTTACTGAGAATGAGCCACATGATGTTAGTCATGGAGCGGCAGCTGAGAGTGCTCCCTTTTGTAGCGTTCCACAAAACCATCATCTTCCTCTGCAATGAAAAGATGCCCACTTCATGGCATCTGTATCTCCCCAGTGACTTTGCCATGGTGTACGTGCAGTGGACTTAATGTGTATGTGTTTGTGCCATAATGTGATTCACATTATTCTGTTTCTGCTGCATAAAGGACTATAATTCCTACACCAAGAGGAAGAAATTGAGCGAGTTATTGGAGCTTGGAATCCCTTAGTACAACAGAGTAGCATGAGGTGTAAAAGGGAATATAAGAAAACTGTAATCTTAATTATTATCTTCATAATAATGAAGTGGCAGTGCTTGGAAACCCTTTAAGGCAAGCTGAGCTGTTTCTAAGGCCTCAGACAAGTAAAGGCACAGTGGGACATATGGTGCAATGTTACATCCAAACTCTGGAAAAGGTCTCCCTCAACATAGGTTCCCATTCCCTTCCTTACACCAGCCCCGTTGCGTTTTGAGACCTGGATTAAGCTAGTTCATGGAGATGAGTCAGATGAAAAGTAATTTGGGCAGGCAAAACCTGAATTCAGGTCTATAGTATGAAGTTTGTGTAAAACAGCCAAATGTCTGTATGACTGGAACCTGACTGCTGAGTTAGGATCTCATCTCTTCACCTCTCTCTGGCTAGACCCTGTACACCACAGATTTAGTGGTGAGACTTGGGAACACTTTATCCTGCTGAGCCTCATTGCAGGTAAAATACTATGTCCTTACCTACACATTTTCAAATATCATCTATAATATCACCTTCTGCAACCAACTGAGCAAATTATAGCAGTTTACATGAATATTTCAGGTATGTGTGCTTCCAGATGTGCTTTCAGCCTGCAAAACCTTAAAGTCTTCTGTGGTCTGGGCAGGTGTCAACAATGACAGACCAACAAGCTGCTCTCATTACCCAAGCTTTAAAAGAGAGACTAAAGCTGACTCCTTTTGCTGTCCTCAGCAGCAATCGCAGCTGTGCAATCTTTCTGCCTCGAGTGCACAGACTGATGGTTTTTATTCCTCCACTACAGAAATAACCACATTTACTAAATAAATAAATAACATAACTGTGGGGAATGGGCTTTCAGCCTAGGCAAACACTACGGGTGGAATCCTGGCTCTGCTGAAGTCAACTGCAGAACTCCTAAATATCTGTGTGGAAGTCTGGATTAAATGTAATGATGTATCTGCTGGTTTGAGCTAGAAAAGCTGATCCTTTAGCTCAATGATAAATCACTTCCATTCACAGCTGGAGACCATCTTTTTCAGCCCAGACTGGCTTATCTTCTCAATTCATTAATTTCCTCTCAATTTATCAATTGCATGTGTGCACAGTTTACACAGGAAACATCTGGTATTCTGCACATGAAGAATGCTAAATGCACAAGTGGAGAGATTATATATGTGACATAACTGAGGGGTTTATTTCAGAAGTGTGAATCTTGGCATGGTGACACATGTATTCACCCTCACTGATTTCAGATTTGTAGCCACTTTGTAATGATGAAATACCTTGCTATTTCTTGTGATGTTATATGTGCATTGTCATGTCTGGAATTTTTGGCAGGGAGGATGTTGCTAGAAATCGAATTTCTTGAATTTGGGGGTAAAGGATTTTGCTGTTAGAAGTGGTTTTAATCAGAAACTAAAGAGTTGACTGAATAAAAGAAACCAAGAACTACTGCAGAGCCTCATGGTCATCCCAACCACCTGCAACATTAATCAATAATCACATTATCATTCTGCATTATTTTCCAGATGGTGCTTCCCCTGTATATTTGTATGTTATGCAAAAAAAACCCCATCAATAAAGCCTCCAGTGTATATGATTTGATTAGGACATGAGTGACACTGTACTGCATTATTCTCAAATGGCTCTAAACCTCACAGCAATCAGGAAATAAACAGACTCATCAACATACTGAATTTCATGCTTCAAAAACTGTATCCACAAGTCAACCATTTGTTGCCACACTAAAGAGCAGTATTTGAAAGGCTTCCTTTCTAAAAGGAACCCCAAAAGATTGGGGACAAGATCTGTGATTGTGAATCTGTCCCTACTGATTTCCTCCTGGATTCAAATCTGGACAGAGAGGCCACTGAATGCAGAATGACAGAAGTGGCTTCAACATTCAAATAGGCTTTATACCTAAACTCTTTAGTGGGCTTTATACCTAAACTCTTTAGTGCTGCTTTGGCCTTAAATGTGTGAGATTTTGCTTCAATCTGATTCATCTTTAAACCAAATACATTTCTTGCTGTCTGTGGAAGACACCCATTTAGATAGGTAGCTCACCCTGAGCAGGACTCTGCGCTGCATAACTTGCCCCTCTCTATCTGCAGTGTGCCAGGATCCAGACTATGGCCAAGTAATTCAGAAGGCAGCTGTGAGTCTGAAGCTCTGCAGAAGATGCTGTTCCGATGGTGCTTCTCTCCTCAGCTGCCATTTTATTGCTACATAAAGACACATGTACAAATTTGCCTTAATTATATCCAAGGTTTCTGGTGAAATCACTGCAAGGTTCATGAAAGAGTATTTTCTTCCATTAAAACTATAAATCCTCAGGCTAAGGATCATCTTCTTCTCTTTAACACACCTGGTGCTTTATGAATTTTAATGGATTTATTCTCCTGATGTGCAATACTTGTGTGCGGTAGGCAAGGACCATTTTCCTTTCTTACAGCTCAAGAATCAAGACATATGGAAAAGAAATTACCTCACTGAGGATTGTTCAGATAAATCTGTGCTGCCAGAGGAAATATTCCCAGCTTATACAAGACCTAGTGGGGGTCTTGTTTTAGGAACGTGGCTTTTGGGACACATCAATGAAAGTAATAGCAAGGAATCAAAACGCATCTTTACCTTCTTTTTCCTGTGTGAATTCTTAACTTTGTACTATATCCCCCAAAAATAAGAGTGATTTTTAGTAGCCTTTTATGTGTTAAGAAATAAAGAAAGGCAAGTTACTGATTTTGAAAATAACTCAGACTTTGAGTGTTTTAGTCAAAAGGACAAAAAGGGGTTTACTTACAGGAATAATGTTCAGTTTAAAGCACTAGATTTGTTTAATTCTGCCACATATACTCACCTGACAAGCAGAGTAGAAAAAGTCTATAATTTAGGGATGAACATTTGTAAACCAAGATACATGATTCAGGACCCTGCTAGTAATGTTAGTAGTTAATATTTCTACCACATTCTGTTGCCGTTATCAAGATACCATTGATTTAGACAGGTGAATCCTGCTGCAGTTTAAATCATGCCACTTGCATTTGTCACCAAGGAAAACAAAATCTAGCTTGTGAGATGACAGTAAACAAGTAAACACCGTAAATATTCACATGAGGAAGTAAATCCCAGCCAAAATGGGGATTTACTTCCTCATGTGATTTACTTCTTCTTTTATGTAAGTCTGACTGTATGTGTAAATCTGGGCACCAGCAAGTACAGGGTTCACATAACTTCTTTAGTTTTCTTCAAGTCTAACCGGACAGCATGACATCCCAAGCTTATCCCATTCAAAAGCTCCAAATAAAACAATTTAGTGAATAGAGCCAGGATCAAATCATGCCATAAACCATGACACAGAAATTTGTACATTTCTGAAGTTTGCTGGAAGGATAAGTTGGAGCATTTTACCACTGAATATTCCAGATTGCATCCAATTTAATAGCAGGTACCAGGGAACTCAATCTGTCTTAACCAGGAGAGGGCTGGGGGGGGGTTATACCATTAATAGTTAGAAGTGGATATAAACACTGGAGAGGATTTATGTTTTCACGGGAATCCTGAGGTCTTTTAAAAATAATTTCCATTCCCTCTTTTCAAGTTATATTCTACTTTATTGAAATTGTGTTGGAAATAGGGCAGGAGAAACCAAATATCTGCTGTAGTTTGGGGAACATGGAACATCCAGGCTGTGCAGAACCAGAAATCACACTTTACAGCTGAACACTGAGT